TGCAGTGCTGAGAGAATCGTGGCTTACTTAACACCACCACGTGATTTTTGTGTGTGTAAGGCTGAGGTAAATTTTAACCAGGAGGATCTTAGCAGTGCATTTACCCAGCTCTAAAATCAAATATAGGAGCTGCGGTGGCTCAAGTGGTTAAGACGCTGAACTGCAGGCTGTGGAAGGTCGGTAGTTCAGCAGTTCAAGACCCGAGTTGCCGCATGATGGAGTGAGCTCCCGTCTCTAGTTCCAGCTCCTGCCAACCTAGCAGTTCGAAAGCAAGAGACTGCAAGTAGATAAATAGGGACCACTTCGGTGGGAAGGGAACAGCGTCCCGTGCGCCTTGGTGTTTAGTCACGCCGACCAAATGACCACGGAAACGTCTTCGGACAGCGCTGGCTCTTCGGCTTTGAAACGGAGATGAGCACCGCAACCCTAGAGTCAGACTCGACTAGCTTTTGAGCAAGGGAACCTTTACCTTTAAAATCAAATATATGGGGTGGGAGAGAACTTCCTATTTCATCCGTAAACACCTTCTCAAACAAAACAAAGGATATTTTTACATATGAGGCCTACAGTGATCCCCCCCTATTGTTTGGCGTTTAGTGCAAATGGAAAATCTCCACTACCCAGGAGGCACATTTGAATTACAAATGGCTGTCTTCCAGTTGATATATTCTACACTCATAAGAATCAGAAGTTCACATAAACAACAAGAGGATTAAAGGTCATTTAAAGCCTCAAATGAAAGTTCCTAGATTTGTATCCCCCCCCCTCACCCCAAACCTTCAGGTGTTCATTAATGAATACTTCCATGTGTAGAAAGAGATCTTCATCACTATCAGTTCTCCCCTCCTCCATTTTATCCTTACAACAAGCATGTGAGGCAGGTTAGATTGACAGGGGGTGCATTCAGACGGGCAGCTAATACCGCAATTGACCTGGCTCTAATTTGATCCCAATCTTTTTTTCCTGGCATTGCACGACCAGACAGCTCCCCTTACCGCGTGCATACTCTGTGGTGGATTGTCTAAACAGCATCCACCTGAAGGAGCCGCACAGTTGGGTGTTTTTTTTTTAAAAAAAAAATCTGTATGCGCATGCGCACCTCAACGTGTACTTGCTTTTCCGCGCATGTGCGGAGTTGAATGATTAAAGCACCACCAGTGGTACCTCTCTCTAGGTACCTTTTTAATTAATGCAGTTCATAAAATTCACGGTCCATTTAGAAACATGAAATTGTCCGGAACGTTTGAGCGGAGCTCTGCTTCTGTTGCATGTTTACATGCTTATGCGCATATCACTAAGAATTTTTTAAATGGCGCCCGCTCGGGATGGTCTGATGCCAGACCATCCCGATGGGAGGATTGCGCGCTGGAATGATCAGATGGAGGAAAGTCCGCAGTTGGCCCGTCGGGAAGCGAAAACTCCAGATTTTAACTAATATCTCTTTAGTATGGCTCCGAAGTGCAGCAAAACGGGATGCTCACGGAACAGGCACATTTCCCAGATGTTGCTGTCTGGTCATGACCTTTAAATCTGCCAGGTGGATCTAAAAACCCGTCTGATCGGAACCAGGGAGTGACATAGATTAAAATGTTAGAAAGCCTAGTTTAAAACTATCTCATTCAATCTGCCTTCCACCCAAAGCAAGGCAAATACATGGTTTCTGTAGCCGGATCAGGCCAAGTCTCCTGTTACCTTTTCCTGGCCAGCCTAGGAACAGTTTTGGATGAATCCGTGCATGAGCCGGAGGTTGCAGTGCGGAGTTCTTTTCTCAAAGTTTTGCTAGCACTAATCTCTCCTGCCGCGTGATCTTGGACAGGAAGAGAAAACCAGCTTGCACGTTAGACGCAGTGGGAACGCCACTTTCCAGATGCTGATAGTCATTGGATTTGCCTGCAGGCTAGATCTCGCAGCTCATATCAGCAGTCTGCCAAAGTGAACCTAACCTGTGGCTTGGGTCATCTGTACACAGGTGTGCAGCTGGCATTACATTCACCTGCAGACTGGCATTCTTTATCTTCCCTTCGGAGTAATTATTCCCTTCTGTTTTCCCTTTCTCTTCTTCCTGCTTGTCAAAGAGTCGTGTGTTGCAGTGCTTTATTTTTAAACATCACATCTGATGTGTTCCTGAAATAAATTTAGGTAGAATAACCACCACCCAAAGGAAGCTTCAGAAAAGGGATCCAGTCCAAATAAACATTTTAATATTCTAAAAAGGAAAAGCTCTTGCATACCACCCCAGACATGGCAACAGTAGTTTTTCAAATCAGATTACAATGCTTTCTGATGAAGTCCTAATAATAGCAAATTCAACGTGCAAGCTGGCACATTGCTGTCTAATTTGCTTCCTCCTCCTTTTGCGAATATTCCTTTCCCTTCTTCTCATTGCAGTCCCTTCTGCTGTTCCCATGATGCACCTGGTGAGCCGCACTATGAGCAGCATCACTTTGTCTTGGCCACAGCCGGACCAGCCAAACGGGATCATCCTGGACTATCAGCTGCGCTACTTTGACAAGGTGAGTTGTGTGGGCGGATGGCCCAGGCTAGCCCGATCTCATGAAATCTCAGAAGCCAAGCAGGGTCAGTCCCGGTTTGTGTTTGGAAGGGAGACCACTAAGGAAGTCCAGGGCTGCTTTGCAATGGCAAACTACCTTTGTTCATCTGTTGCCTTAAAACCCCTTTAAGGGTCACCATAAGTTGGTTGCAACTTGATGGCACTTTCCACCACCACATGGAGCCAGCTGGGTGACCTTGGGTCAGTCACAGTTCTCTCAGAGCTCTCTCAGCCCCACCTACCTCACAGGGTGTCTGTTGTGGGGGGAGGAAGGGAAGGCAATTGTAAGCCACTCTGAGACTCCTTAGGGTAGTGAAGGGCAGGGTATAAACCCAACTCCTCCTCCTCCTTCTTCCCAATCAAAGCTGGGGCCAGAAAGTCTTGGGAGCCAAGTCCAGAGGGAGCTGCAAATTTGAACACGTTACTTTTGTGTGTGTGTGGCATGTCAATCTTAATTGCATCCTTATTGCACCATGACATGATGCACACACTGAGCTCTGAGGTGTGAATTTAAACATTTGTCATGTTTTAATGACTATTTGGAATGTTAGATATTGGATTATGAATTTATTGTCTTGTTGTAACCTGCTCTGAGCCTGCTTGCAGGGGAGAGTGGGCTAGAAGTCAAATAAATGAAATGAAATGAAATGTTATTATGGCTCTCAACTTGGATGTGGCCTGGGTCTCTCTGGACCTCTGAAAGGGCAGAGGGGGGAGACCTTTCTTGCAACGGAGTGTGAGGGCTTAGGGG